TTCGAGCTGATAGACCCACCAGCCACAGATGTTATCAGGGTGAGTAGAAAAGGAAGAACATTTGAAATAACTTATTGGAAGATGTATAAACTGAAAGAGATAAGCACGAACTCCGCTAATATAGACAAAGGAACGGCGAGCATAGCGCCGTGTTTAGGTATACGGTCGACTCGCAGACCAATTCACTAGTGTCTGGAGATCGATCACGATTGAGTTCTCAATTACTGTGGCCTTGTGCCAGTAGCAAACTAACATACACGGTTACAGAGAGTGAGAGATAGATAGATAGATAGATAGATAGATAGGGAGTGAATGAACGAGAAAGAGAAATAGACTGAGGGAGAGAAAAAGTGTAAGAAATGACACTTAAGCATAGAGCGCTGGTTCGACCCTCGACTCGCAGACCAATTCACTGGTGTCTAGAGATCGATCACGATAGAGGTCTCAATAAACTGTGGCCTTGTGCCAGTACTAAACTAATATACACGGTTACAGAGAGTGAGTGATAGATAGAGAGTGAGTGAGCGAGAATGAGATACTAACATACAATGTTTGAGAGAGAGAGTGAGTGAGCAGTAGATAGAGAGAGAATGAGTAGGAGAGATAGATAGATAGATAGATGGATGGAGAGAGAGAGAGAGAGAGAGAGAGAGAGAGAGAGATTGAATGTAAGAAATAACATTTAATTATAGGCGATGCCCAGAGGGAGTGACTAGATGATCAATTCACTCGTGTCTTGATCATGATTCAGTTCTCAAATACGGTGGCCTTGTGCCAGTGGCAAACTAACATATATGGTTACAGAGAGTGAGTGGCAGATAAATAGAGAAGGAGAGAGAGAGAGAGAGAGAGAGAGAGAGAGAGAGAAAGAAAATGAGAAAGACAAAAAGATATCGACTGAGGGAGAGAGAAAGAGTGTCAGAAATTACACTTAACTATAGGGTGATGATCCGAACGCTACATTTGAAGACTAATTCACTACTCTGTTGAGATCGATCTTGAATTAGCAATCTATCACCCGTGATTGCACTAAAATTTACATGCACAAGCTCCAAGTTAGCGGGAAGGCCAAGACTGATTTTGCATTTCCCAACTCCAATCGATAGTGGAAATAATCGATTTTTTCATGCTTCTACGGCAGTTTTCATGTAGTTTGAGGCCATTTTCTACTGGCCAGCGTCAGAGCCAATAGCTGGCTGCCACAAAAATGCAGGAAGATTCTATTGGCTAGCGTGAGAGCCAACAGCTGACTGACACGAATGTTAACTAGCATGCTAGCATGCAAAAAACATCGATAGCTGCATTCGTCACAAGTGGGAAAAATTTAAATCTGCATGGCACTTTACTCCAATTGGCTCATTCGCTTGCTTAAACTCAACGTTGATTCTGATTCCGCAGAACTGGGTTGGGTGTGAAAAAGTATTTGTTGTTAACATTCTTTTTTTCATTCGGTTTTTCCAGTTACGAGTCTTTTTTTAAAGCTGATCGTTTTGTGTTCATTTTGTTTAGTTCTTTTTTCGTAACAGATTTAATGTTTAGTATAGAACTTAGAAAAAATTCGCAGTGTGAGATAGACAAGAGGTAAGGCATGTAGCAACATCAGCACGGCAAAGGGCACTCGTTTAAAGGCAAGGAAGGGCAAAAATATTTTAAGTCAAGTGATAGCGATTGCTGTATGAGTCGTACGATTTTTGAATCAAGCACGGGCAACGCCGGGCCATGCTGCTAGTATATATACATCACAGCTGGAGGCACTTTACATCGGTCCAGCACGCCTTCCCTGTGTAAACAGCGTGAATGTTTGTTGGGGCTCATATATTTTTCTTCCCCTTTTTCTTCTCATTGCACGTTTTCTAGTGTTTTAATTTAAGTTGAATCTCCCGTGGAGACCTGAAGAGCGGAACCAGTTGCTTCACTTTTAATATGTCTAATAATATTAAGCTTCACACTTTTATTTCTGTAATTAGATTTTTTACCTACAAAAATATTTTCAAATATATATATATATATATATATATATATATATATATGGAAGGCACGGCCGTGTAGTGGATAGCGGCTCGGATAGAGGAATTTGAGAGCTGAGTTCGAAATCCAGTCGAATCCAATACATTCACTTACGTGCTAATACCCATCGAATGAGATTAATCCCCTTCTCTTTCCAGTTATGCTTAAATAGCAGGACAGACTGGGTTCTATAGCCTTGGATGGCAATTGGTCTAGGAGAAGGACAACTCTGAATTCAAACCCTGCGGAGGGTCGTTTGGGGAGCTTGTGGCACTTAGTGCACCAGGTCTCTGTATTCGTCCCTTCAAAAAGTGTGGATGGTTCTGCACGAAATCTTCACCACTATAATCAGATCATCTGTGCTGGCGTCTGGGCGGTGGCTTCCTCTGATGAGTTTTATATTCTGTGCAAACCAGGTAAAAGAAATTCATCACGGAATCTGCATTTGGTACAACACAATTTTTCACTATGCGTGCTTAGTAATTTCAAGTTAGCAAGTATTGGTCATGTGCAGCAAGAATAAAACCTTCGGTTTCAACTTTTAACCCTGCACTACGTAACCATTGGTAGGTACGTGGTTTTTCTACATCAGCTTGTTTGCTAGGAACAGAGTATTGACCAGGAAGGGGCTTATCTTGCCATCGTTTCTACATTTCAACTCGCAGACACATGTAGCATTCTTTCTTTTTTACTTTCTCCTTCATTTTGATATGCTGTATTTCTTTTCCTTTGCTGACCCCTAGGCATTTATAGACTTCATTTCGTCCCACTTCGCTAATCTTTGTCACAAAATCTTGATCTATCTGTTTATATTTCTGAGATGGGGTATTATGTACATTATTAACATTATTCGGACTATTGTCCCCATCTTTGTCGCCATATTTATCACAACGCTTCGGCCGTTGTACGCTCCGGCCTTCCTCAAGGAAACATAGCACAGTGGGTAAAGGCATTGGTTAAATCTAGTCACAAGACCCAAAGAGTGTGAGTTCAATATCCGGTTAAGACAGTGGAGAACTTGAAGAGGGGAATTAACAGGAGATAAATGATAACTGACATCCAGTAAACATGGCACGTAGAACTAGAACAGTCTACCCCAGTGAGCGAAATAAAGGGTTCAGTTCGACATTCCAACCACCTGAAGAAGGCCAGAGCGTACAACGGCCGAAACGTTGTGATAAATATGGCGAAAAGGATGAGGACAATAGTCCGAATAATGGAAATTTTGATCTATTGAGTGTGTTTCTGTAAAGCTCCCTTTCTTGAATGTTACTTTTGAACATATATCTACTCTGAAAACCATGGCTATATCAACACTGAAACATTTTATAGTATAGAGGATACCATTCAAATTATTATTATTATTATTGCTACTACTACTACTACTACTACTACTTATCTATCCCATTCTCTTACTATACGTATGTATCTATCGCAGACTGTTCATATGTATATATTTATGGTGATTTTCTCTGTGCACCCGAAAGTATGGGGCACCCAGTGAGGATCAAACTCACTATTCAATTGTTTCAGCGAGACAAGCTTGCTAAATATTAGCCCACGTCGAGATGACCGAAATGCTTTTCTAAGCGTAGCTTCGGTTTGGCACAAGGCTGAAAATATGGGGCACCCAGTGAGGATCGAAATCACTATTCGATCGTAATTGCTTTAGCGAGACAAGCTTGCTAAATATTACTCCACGTTGAGATGCCCAAAATGCTTTTCTAAGCGTAGCTTTGGTTTGGCACAAGGCTGAAAATATAATATGGGGCACCCAGTGAGGATCGAACTCACTATTCAGTCGTAATTATTTTAGCGAGACAAGTTTGCTAAATATTAGCCCACGTCGAGGTGCCTAAAATAACTTTCCTATCGTCCCTTGGATGTTGTAAAGTGTGGGTCGCTGTATCTATTTTTATGTATCTCACATCAACCATTGGATGTACAATATTCTCTTCAAATAGATTTCATCAACGATTATTTAAAAAAATAAAACTCATGCAGAATGACATCTAATAGACTGACATTCATAAAGATATTATTTCAAATAAAAGATCGAGGTAAAGATTGAGAGAGGGGACCAGTAAGTCTGCATTTGTCCTTATCGATTCTTATTATCAGTGTGAAAATTGGTGAGTTTGCAACTTGATTGCATATGAGGAAAAGAATAGATGAAATTGAAAATGCTGGAGATTCGTAAAAGAGTTTAATCCAATGAGAAGAGGTTGAAATAAGGACGGGGAGATAACGACAGAAAAAGAGACTATTTCATATTTCCTTCATGAGGAAAAATCTCCCGGGAGGATATCTATCTATCTATCTATCTATCTATCTATCTAT